AGGATGAGTACACTGCGCCCCTTGCAGGAGATGGGAAAAGCTTGTTGCTAGCAGGCGCGGCTGTGACACCACCTGACCTCCAATCAAGGCGCAAGAAAGTAGCCTCCACCAATGGATGGTAAAAAAGAGTTGACAGAGCGACTTTGGGAAGGGCCAGGGTTAGTGATGTAACCACAGGGGTAGAAAAGGCGGAGCAGCAACTGTGTAAACAAGCACATGGCACTTTGATTCCATGCTTTCACTGGTGCAATTTTTCTTTATTTAGTCTTGTTGTATTTTATAATAAACCTCTGAAATTTTAAAAGTGAGCATCCTTTTTTGTGAGGTAGTGTTTTCTTCTAGTTACTCAAAATTATTCATATTCAGTAACTATTCCAGCAGCAAATAAACCCACAAGCTCCTCCGAGACAAATCAAAATAGGACAGAACCTCCATGGAAAATATACCTGTTTTCTAGGAACTGCACAGAAAAATGTCTCCATGTTCTCTTCACTTAAAAGCCTGGGTAAATCCAGGCTCATAATCATGATACCCAAGAATTTACTGCCAGAGTGAACACATCAAACTCCAACACACAGGGACTCAAGGACACAAACTGCACACACATCCCTCACACCCATGCTTGGAATCATCTTCCTGCTGTAATATATGTTAGAAATAATTGATGCTATAAAAGGATGTATTTTATAAAGATTGCAAAATCCAAACGAGTCTCAGACCACAAGCAGCCAGAGAGGCGGACGTCTATTCAAATTCTGAAGTTCCTGAATGTGGCAGGAGAACAATCGGCAGTTAGCTCATGAATAGACGCACCCAGTGATGATCACTGTTATCCCGAGCCATCGGAAGACACCTAAGAGCGATCATCGATCATTGCCCTGTTGATAACATCGATCAAGATAGCCAAAGTCGCCAAAAAGATGCATGTGAATACGCGACTTCTTGGATTTGATCAATGCTGGCTGTCGACCAGGAAATGGCGATTGTCCAGCTCTGCACAGTGAAAGAACCAACTATGAAAAGTTACAAAAGAAACTTGGACTCCTTTGCCTCAGGCATAATAAACTGTATAAAATATCCCCGCAAGAAGCGGCTCTCATGAACGAGGGGGGTCCGATGCGATAGAGGTGAGATCCAGGTTCACCGAGCGCCGATCCGAGGCTTGATGCTGTCTCTTTGGCTGTGGTGGTTTTGAGGATCGTATTTTGGTGACAGAAAAAGATAAATCTTTTTGCATTTTTGATAATTTGGCTTTCGATTGATCATTTATAACACTGCTGAGCTGAGGACAAGAAGCGACCAGAATAGCCCGGGCACTCCAGCTTCACTGCAAGGCATCCGGCAGCCTTGAAGGTACAAAGCGAGCACAGGTCGGAGCTCCTCGTGTCCGGAGCGAGGCCGGAGGAGCCCCCACCGCGGAGCTGACACGGCCCTGGCCCGGCCCCGCTGCGCTCCGAGCACGGCCCCAGAGCGGCCCGGCCGAGGCGGTGAGGGACGGGCGGTGAGGGGCCGGGGGATGGGGCACTCCGGGAATGGGCGGAGATCCCGGCAGAGGGGAGAGAGACCTGGCAGAGGGAGGAGTGAGCAGGAGAGCGGAGAGGTGCTGGGAGGAGGGGGAAAATCCCAAGAGAGGGGGATGAGCCTGGGAGTAGGGGAGATCACAGGAGAGGGGGGGTGAGATCCCTGGGAAAAGGTGGGTTGCCTTCCAAGTGGGTAGAGCCGGAGAAAGAGGAGAGAGACTTGGGAGAGGGGGTAGATCCTGGAAGAGGGAGGAGTAATTGGGAGAAGGGCAGATCCAGGGAGACGAATAAAAGCACTGGCTACAGCCTGGGAGAGGGAGGAACTTGGGACAAGGGGTAGCTCGGGACTGGGGAAAACCCGAGAGAGGAGGGAGAAACCAGGAGATGGGGGAGAACCTGAGAACAGGGGGGAGATCTGGAGTAGAGCGGAGAGGGCCTGGGAAAGAGGGGAAAGATGTGGGAGAAGAGAGCCCAGCGGCGGGAGTTCGGGAGCGGAGGCTCCTGCAGGCGGACCGGGAAGCCGGAGAGCCCGGAATCAGGGAGTCCTGCAGCCAGGCCGAGAATGGGCGCGGGTCAGTGCGGTTCAGGAGAGCGCGGCTGCGGGGCTGGCTCCGGAGCCGCAGGCGCGTGGAAAGCGCTGCTCGGCAGCCCCGGCGGCACTGAGAGCACAGCCCTGCCCGGGGAGGCAGCGCCACGGGCGCCGCTCGGCTTCCCAGCGAGGCCTCGGCACCGCTCGCCTTCGCCGCCGTATCCGCGGCAGCTCGGAGCATCGGTCCCTGCCCAGGCCCGAGGCTCACCTGTGCCAGGTGCACCAGAGCATCGCCTCTGCCTTGACAAGCCACAAGGAGCAGTGCCGGGCAGGGACTGCAGATCCCCATTGGTGGCAGAGAAAAAAGAGCAAGGAATCTTCTGTGGGAGAATATAGGCAATAGGATGAGGTGTCACTGTCAAATGTGTTCAGGTGCACTCACAAGGATACTATTGCTCTTGGCTCAGAACATGGAAAAGAAGTGGGCAGACACAAATCACAAGCTGGTTGCAATATCCAGGGATCAGTTATCAGAATAAAATGCTATGCAACTGCTGGAATGCTTAATGGATGACTAATTACCCCTTGCTAAGTCATCTGGGCTTGTTAGGGGCAGCATACTTATCTCTCAAAAATTACTCTAGAGCTATGATTAAGAAAATTTTGAAGAAAGGCTCATAGACCCACATTTTAATGCAGTTGCTGTGGGTTTGATCAATGAAATCTGCTTTAATGTCTTGATTTTCCTAAAGGTTTGTGGGGTTTTTTTCACACACGCATGCATGCTAAATTTGAGACTCTAAGGTAAGGTCTTTTCATAGGGGATATGGAAGAGACAGGTCTTCAGTCAGCAATATGTCAGTGAGAGACAGCTGAGCGATGATTACTGAGAAGAAGAACAGCCCTGCAATAGAGGTGTGAGTCTTGGCTGATACTCAGTAGAACCACCTTAGGCAGGATCAGTAACAAGCTTTTGAAGAGTGAAGGGCCTAATCCTTTGGTGTGGTACTGTATGGACTTTGGGATCACTACACCATTGCAAATAGGTTCCCTTTCCAGCAGAAGAGACTTCCATCTGCTGCCTCTGCCGAGACACTGGCAGGGACAGAGTGAGCAAGGCTCAGTCAGCTCGCAGGGTTATTTGCACAGAGGGGCTGCAACAACACGAGAAGCCAAAAGCAAACAAACTCATAGCCTGATTCCAGAACTGCTCAAGCATCTGTGTCCTTGCTGGCAAGACAAGAAGGTGCTTCAGACCTTAAAGGCAGCTTCATCCTTTGCAGGACCAGCCCAAAATGTCAAGATCTACAATAGAAAGATGGGGGGAGGGGGGTTTGGGTTTTTTTTATGCTCACTGGGTGGGAAATGCTTCAGTTGCGGTTTTGAAGGGCTTGCCTGGGTTGTCATACTAAAATGCAGGAGAAAAAAAAAAAAAGCTGTGCTTTTGCTTAATGAAGCCACATGGTATCTGTCTTTCAGAAAGGAATAAAGAAAACACAGATCGCCTACTGAAATTATTCTCCTCCCTTCCAAATCAGTTCACTCCTCAAACACAAGCCTGAGGCACATCCCCGACTGCCTCTCTCCCAGCAGCTCAGAGCAGCATTGCACAGCGCTTGCTGTGTGCCAGAGAGCACAAAGCAGGCTGGCCTGGTGGGCCTGAATATTTCTGCCAAACACTCTGCATCTCACACCTTTGCTCTGGCTCAGTGCAGAACTGCAGGATTGCAGGTGCTTCCTGCCAGAGCTGCGTGAGGCGCTGGCTCCTGCAGATGTGCCCTGCCAAGCTGTCCCTGCCTCACGCTGGCCTCGCTTGCCCTGGCAGAAGTGCCGGGCCTGAAGGAGGCTGCCCTGTGCTCCAGCCTGCCGAGCAGCCCGGCTCCCTGCCCCGGTGCCCAGAGTGCTGCACACACTGCTGACCTTGGCCAGGAGTTGCAGGGCAGCCGGCAGAAGAGGAGGAATCCTCAGCCAGCCCAGCGGCCCTCGGCTGCCCTTGGCCTTTCTCTGCTCCTGGGCACACTCCAGACGGCCAATGCCTCCAGGCCGGGCTGTGCCCAGCACGGCTGCGCTTCCCCTCGGCAGCAGCCAGCTGCCACCTGGGCTCTGAGAGCGCAGGATTCGCCCGCTCCCAGGAACAGGCACCCAGGGCCTGGCTGCTGCCTCTGGCAGCTCCAAGGGCCTCCTTCCAGCCTGCCTCTGCCGGGGCTCAGCCTGCTCCGGCCTCTGCCTGGGCTCTGCTGGGGCTCCAGCCCGGGCAAGGCCGGGCCCGCTCTCACCTCACAGGCGCTCACAGCTCTGCACCTCAGGAGACCTTGCCGAGCACCCTCTCTGATCTTTCTGCTTTCTCACTTGAGCAAGGCTCTCCTCCAGACAAAGACATTGCACCTAGGGATCCAAATCCAAGTGGCAGGAACCCCAATGCTCTCCAGTCACAGCTGAACGCCTGCATCTGCACAAGATGTTTGGCCTGCCTCATTCCTCCTTTGCTTTTGCCTTCAAATGCCATTGCCCTTTCTGCCTCAAATAGAAGTACCAAAGCTGGCCAAAAACAGACCAGCGCGCCATATTCCAAAGGCAGTGTGGTCTGGAGAGGATGAATGGAGAAGATCCTTCCCCACTCTCACACCATGCCAAAGACACTGTGTCACTTTCCACCTTTAAGAAACAACAGACAATTCAGATGGAATTCTCGAGTTTATTTGCAGAGTGAGAAGGAAGGGAATCTTCAAGGCAAGTTGTGGTTTCAGAAACTTTATTAATTTCCAATCCTACTCTGCAGTCCTATTACACAATCCTACTCTAACCCTAACCTTAATCCTAATCCTAATCCTAATCCCAGTCCTAGTCCTAATCCTAATCCTAATCCTAATCCTAATCCTAATCCTAATCCTATTCCTAACCTACAATCCTACTCTAAGAAGGTTGAGGAATAAATGATCCTGATGTGATTGTCACATTCTTGTCTCCTTCCTCTTCTTCACTGAAACAATCAGTGGCACCAGGCTGGACGCAGGCTCAGCAAATCTTACAAATGGATGCTGCCCAAAGGGAAAGAAACCAAATCAACAAAAACCAAGGAACCATGACTTTCCAAGCTCAGTGCTTCACAGGATTCCTCTGGCTTCTAGAAGGATGCAGGAAGAGGACCAATGGGACCATCTACAGCTCCATCTTTATGTGCAGGACTTTGCCATCACAGGCAAACCTGGCCCAGAATCCCACTCATCCATTTATCCAGGTGTCTTCATCTTGCTGAGATTTTTGCCCTGCCACTGCTGTAGAAATGGTGCTTTCTGTCCTTGGAGTTTCTTCTTTTCAGGAAACTCCAATGACTCATATAGGTCCCTGTCTTTGCAAGACAGGCACTGTGCTGATTCCCACAGGGAGACAGAGCAGTGTCTGCCTTTCCATGCCCTGCCCCTTGTGTGCTGGATGGCACCCTCCTTCCCAGCAGGGCCAGCCCAGTGGCACTGGGCCCTGCAGTTCCCTCTCTGCCACACAACCTGGCAGTAACCCTGGCACAGTTCCCATCTGCTTGAGCGTGCCAGGCAGCAGATGGGGCTGGGACAAGTCCCTCCCAGCTGTCCCTGTTTGGGTGCCAGAAACCTCTAAGGGTGGGCTGGGGGGTACAAACCAGGGCCCCTCCGAGGCTCCCAGTGAGCCCCCCACAGCCCCTCCTGCCCACAGCCAAATCTCTGACTGCTCAGCTGGGACTGGCTTCCTTGGGTTCCTCCACCACCATTTCATGTCTCTGTACCCTGCATTGCTCTACTTCAATTCTTTTGCTGTTAGATAAAATTGAACACCCCACCAAATTACAAAAGAGGGCGACAGAAACAGAAAACAGAGCAGCTCTCCTCTCAGGAAATGAGGAGAGAGGTGGAGTTATTCAGTTGTGTGAAGAACAGGCCCGAAGGAGATTTTACTGTTGCTTTTCAAGACTTCAGAGTGGTTTTGAAGAAAGTGGGGGACATCTTTTTTAACAGGGCCAGTTACAATAGGATGTGGGTGAATATTTTTAAACAAAATGGGGATCAAGTCAGAGTAGGTCTAAGAACTTGTTTACTCGGAGCATGGTGCAACCCTGGCACAGCTTGCCCCAAGAGCTTGTAGGTGCCCCATCCCTGGAGCCATTCCAGGTCAAGTGGCAAAGGGCTCTGAGCAACCTGATTTCTTTAAAGATGTCCCTGCTCATTGCAGCACACTTGCACCACAGGACCTTTTACAGGGCCCTGCCAGCCCAGCCCAGTCTAGGATTCCTCACCATTTTCATTTGAAGAGCACCAAGAGTGGAGGTGAGGAGGAAGGGGGCTCATCTGATGCCTTGAACTTGAGTGGAGGAGGAGCCCATCCCTCAGAGCCTGTTTCACCTGCAGCCCCTTTACATTTTACCTTCAGGAGCTCCTTGGCAGACCAGCGCTGCTCCTCATCTGTCTGCAGGCAGCAGCTCAGGAAGTCACGCAGCAAAGCTGAGAGGAGCTTGGGCTGCCGCAGTTTTGGGGTCCCTACTGTGGCTATCAGGCGTCGAGCCTGGAGAAAAAAAAAACCCACGAGGCTCCACCTGCTGCTTTCACATCTCTAAGGCTCTCCCAGATCCCTTTGTTTAACCTCTGTTCTTCAGTGGCAGTTTCTGCCCTTGCAAAGACCCAGAGATGACTTTCCTTTACCAACCAAAAACCCAAACCCCGATGCAGCCACAGCTTTTCCACCATCCCGCAGATCTTGCCTTGGCAGCTGATTTGATTGACTGACCTAGTTAGTGGGAACTACATCAACAAATGCACATTTGCTTCTCTGAGGATTCACACCAGCTTGAGAGGCTTTTTGGAAGCTGTGCTATACAAACTAATTTCAAGGGTTAGTACATGAAAGGCATCTCTGCAGTGCTTGTTGGTCCTTTAAGCACACATGCCATAGAACAAAACTCATCAAGCTTTTTGTGCTGTTCTTGAAAACAATGGGAATTGGAAGGAAAGAAAGGAAATCCATCAGTTAATCCCCAGAGAAGGAAACAAACATTTACAATCTCATCTTCAACACAGACACATTAAGATGCCTGCACAAATGTATTGGGATGAAAATGCCTGCTTGGCCACACAGGAGCCACCTGCAGCTCTGTCTCTCAGCAGTCTGAAAATTTCAGCTTCCCTCCCATTTTGCAGCAAAAGAAAAACTGTCAGGGTCAGAGGAGGAGAGGTGCCATCCCTGTGGTCACCCTCTGCTCATTTGGCTACTCAAGTCAATACATTAATGGTAGGCCCATCCCAGAAAGTGCCAGGAAACAAGCAGGAGCTTTTGGCTGGCTCTCCACATCACCAGGCTCTGGCTTGGTGATGCAGAGAACGGGCCTTGGGCTAGGAGAGAAACACAGTCACTAAATGCAGTGCAGCAGCACTGCACAAAAAGCAGAAGAGACTCTGTGGCCTTTACACCCTCATGCCCAGGTTTCAGGCATGTTTCCCAGTGAGAAGAAACTGCAGAGGGGGTTAGGTTCCTCTCTAAAGACCACAGTTTTAGAAACTTTGTTGGGTTTGGGTTTCCTTCCTTCATTTATGGAAAGATAACAGCAGTTCTAAGGTGCTTGTTTCCTGTTACTGGGGCCATCTCCACAGACAAAAGAACTGGAACCACTTATAACCCAAGGGAAAGTGTTTCCTGAGAATGGAGTTTGTTTGCATATGGTAAGGCTTGAGTTCGACCACTGATGTATCCAAATCTACAGCAGATGCTGATGTGTTGCAGGGACATTTTTAGGAGGGAAAGTAGTGGAATAGAGGGAAACTTGATGGAAGTAGTTCCAGCAGATGGCAATGGGATTTTGTCCAATGGCACACAGGACATGGGACAGGCGAGAAAGGCAGTGGGATGAGTGAGTATTTGCTCCTTACCGAGGTATGACTTTGGTCCCAGTAAGGAGGTTCTTTTTCTAACATTTCAATCCCCACAATTCCAAAAGACCATATGTCCACTTTGGGGCCATATGGTTGACCTGTCACCACTTCAGGTGCCATCCACCAAGGAGTCCCGGCTACCAAGCACGGTCTGCTCTGCTCAGGGGTGAGCTGAGTAGAGAGGCCAAAATCAGCTGAGGAGAAAGCAAAATACTGGTTTTATTTCAATTCTGTGCAATTAGGAAAACGTACAAAAGAATTCCCCAGTAGAAGTTTGAAAATGTGCTGTTGAATCTCCTGGCATTGGCGACTTAAAAAATTCCCCCCATTTTTTACACTGCCTCCAGCAGTGGCTTTTGTTCTTTGGAAACTTTAGACTTGTAGCTCCCTCCCTCTGGAAGGGACACACACAGAGCAAGGCCACCCTTGACTGCTTGTTCCTTGTCCTACCTCTGTGCACATTGCAACTGTGCCCTCAGCTCACAGCAGGTGTCCCTGCACTGCCACCAGCACCATTTTTGGGGAGCTGGCAGTCACGCAAAGCAGCCCCACACCCACATCCCTGGAATGCTGCACATAACCAAGAATATACTGACTCAGCTTGACAGAACCATCAGTTCTGAGAAGGATGTTGTCGCTCTTCACATCTCGATGGATCACATCGTTTGAATGAAGAAAATCCAGTCCTTGCAGGCACTGAGAGAGAATACAGAAAGAGAAGGGAAAAATGAGTGATGGGATTTCATCACACAAGAAAGGAAACAAAGAATCTAAAAGATTCCCTCTCCAGGGGAATGGGGAGTAATGGCAGAACAGTAATGGCCACTGAGAGGAAGAGCTTGCTGCTCCAACACTTGCAGAGCAGGTCCTTTCTGAGGAAAGGCACGTCAGCTTTTGAAAGAGCAACAGCACCTGCTGTTGTAGGCTGTCCCCTGCAAACCAGCCGGAATGACTGCTGCTGCAGTGCATGTGCTCAGAAGCAAAGAGCATTTGGGCTGCACTCCTATCCTTTTTAGCTGAGGACTGAGAGAAATGAGTCTCTCTTTTTTCTTTGCTGTTTGTTTCAAATCCTGCCACCAGCACCTTTGCTTTTACAGGCAAGGAATGCAGTGAAGACAGGCAAAAGTTTAGCGAGGCAAGATGGAGAACAGCAAATACAAGAGACAGAGCGAGAGTACAACAGCAGGAGATAAGAGTACTGGCACTGAGTACAGGGAGTGCAGGGGCACTGGCAGGCCTTTCACTTGAGGTGCTTTTACTTGCCCATAGCATACCAGCCACACAGAAACAAAGCTTGGAACAGGAAATCACTCCTGTTCTGAGCCCCTGTTCCCAGACAATCCTGCCCAAGCCCTCAGAAGCACAGATGGGATTGCTGACCTCCCGACTGATGGCTGCAATGTGGTCTTCAGACAGGCAGGTCTTGTGGATGACATCACTGAGGGCGCCTCCATCCATGTACTCCATAACCAGCCAGAGTTCCTCACCCAGAAGGTAGCTGAAAGAAGGAAACAAGGGCATGGAGATAAACAAGCATGGCTAGCTTGACTTTTTGCCTCCAGGTTTCTTGTTTCCAGGTGCCTTTGTGACTAAGACAGAATCAAAGGAATAGACAATCTGCAGTCTGTGCAGTTCTGCAGGAGAAAGACACAGCTGTGAAAAAGAAATCTTAGATGGCCAGCAAGTGAAAAATGCAGTTTAGTAACAGCCCAGGTAAAAACCTGTCAGGCATGGTGTTTCTGGAAATAAGCACCTCGTCTTCCTGGCATGCACAGCAATGGCACAGCAATGGCAAAGAGGGGCAACAATCTAAGGGAAATCCACTTTAGGATGATCCATCAGCATTTAAGAAACTTGAAAAAATCAATCCTGAAAAAATGTGGAGGCAGTGTACTTTGAGGCTATTGACTTAGGAAGATACAGTTGATCCAGGTTTTGAATAAGTTTGGAATAATTTTCAAACAATGAGTGGCAGGGAAAACTCATGCAGACAAGATGCACTCTCTTCTCATCCATTGGAGATGAGTAGAGAAATATGAATAAATAAAAATTAACAGCTCTACTTTCTGCCACTAATCAAAGTGGGGTTTTAACCTCTCATGTTTGCTGTATGTAAATGCCCATTGATGGGATAAGACCATGACCTCTCACCTGTCTAAATAATTCACAACACTGGAACTCCTATACCTCTTCATGATCACGATTTCATTAACAGTTAGTTCCTTCCTCCCCAGTCCTTGGAGATTTATTTTCTTTATGGCCACCTAAAATGACATTGAAAATCAGTAACTCGAGAAGTTGGTGGCACGAGACCACAATGCACATGGAGCAAGTGATTTTGCAATGACACAGCTGAGCTGTGCCAAACTGCCTTGTGATGAGGCACTGCAGTCATGAGGAACTGACATTCCAACAGCCCATTTCTCTGCTCCCTTGGGGGCCAGTTACAGCACACGTGGGGCCACTGACATTTTGCCTTGACCACTTGGTAACAGTGGTGTCTCAGCTATCACCGGCAAACCTCTGACCACACTCTCTGCTGCTTTGGATGGGATTCAGAAGAAGTAATCCATGCCTTAATACTCGGTGGATACATCTTGGCCTATGGGCAGGGCTTTTAGGGCACCTTACAGATCTCTCCCTATGTGCAGTTCCCAAGTGCTGCACTGCAGGTGGCTAAGGAACTACCAGGAACTTTCAGATGTATTTGCTGGCAGCCAGAAATGAGAATTCAGGACTCTGAAGCTGTAGCCCCAAAGAGCAGTGAGGTGCTCAAAGGCACCACCTTTGTTTTAGCAATGGAGAGCGAGTGAGCGTGTCCTTCTCTGAAAGGAACCGCTGCCCTCCGTGCCTTCCTTCCGGCAGCTGAGGAGGACAAAGTCCCAAATGTATTTTGCAGGCTGGCACCAGTCTGTGCTTCTTGTGCCTTTTCAGCACAGCTCTACCCAAAGCTCCAGCCACAGCTCACACCAGAGGGGAAAGCCCCTCAAGAGCAGCAGAGTTTGCAGGGCCTGTTGACATTTACCTCTCCTCCTGTGGCATTGTTGAGTGCTCTGACCACATGTCCAAAACCCCTAGAAACAAAACAGAAGCAGAGAAAGGAGAAGCTGTTTAGCTCCTAGAGTGAAAGCCAGCCCACACAGGAGATCTCTGCTGGAAGTGTCAAAACCTGCAGAGGATGCAGGAGGGCTCTGCCAGAAGGCAGATGATGCATTTTCCTCTCAAGTGCATGGGCACTGAGCCTGTTCCTGAAGCACTGGGGTTCAACTTCTAAAGGGAGTTTAGTCTTTCCTCTTGGGTTTCACTTTCTAAACTGTGTGGTTCCTATCCTGACCACAGAGACTTTCCTTCTGCAAACCAGGGGAAAGAAATGTTCCTGGCAACTGTTATCTTAAAGCTTTGATGGGGGTAGGTTGCTCTTTCAGGCAAGCAAGTTTCTTCTTTTTTCATTGGTGTGCCAGTATGATTTTGAGACATCCAAAAATGCTAAAGAAATTAACACAGAGCTGTCCCACACTTGAGAGACAAGGAGATCTTCCAGGTCCTGTTCCTTGATGGAGGCAAGACCTTGGCAACATGGAGATGTCGCTAACAATGCCTTCTGAGCCCACTCACAAATTCTGAGCAGCACTGAGAGATGGGACAATCTATCCCCAGTGTGTGAACATCTTTGCAGCTTGCCTGACTTCACGCTGGATTGACATTCCACCAGAAAAACACCTGGCCCATGGTTGTGCAGGAGTAACTGCGCTTGGACTCACCCGCTGCCAATATGTTCCAGTTCAGTGTATTTCATCATGGGATTTTCCTGGTTGACCATTCTCCCTAAGGGAAATAAAATGCAGGATGCTAACTTGAAAGCAGAGATCGCAGCTTTCAGGAGATATAAAAGGCAGCCCCACTCTCTGGGGCTCTGAGCCCTTTGTGCTCAGCTGGGTAACAACAACCACAACAGCAACAGCAACAGGATAGGCAGCCCTGCAGTACAGATGGCTGGCACAGAGACTGATTTTGTACAGTCCTTTGAAGAGTTCTCTTGACAGGAAAGAAAGCACAGGGAGATGCATTTCCAGGAGAGAAGGAAATCTTCTCCACCTTTCAGCAATTTGCCAAAAGAATTCCTTCCCATTTGTAAACCAGAGCAGCTCATGCTATAATCAATTCCGACAGGGCTTTCAGCATCAGGACCCTCACCTGTTTATGAGCAGGCTGAGCTCAAAGATGCCCCTCTCCCAGCTAAGGAAGGCTCCAGCCTCTGCAGTCCCTCCAGCCCTCAGGGACAGGGCAGCCAGCACAACAAGGCTGGCAAAGCCCAAGCATGAGCACTGACAGGCACTGATGGGAAGAAGCCAGAGTGAGCCTGAGCCCCTTACAAGCTGTTGCCCCATTCAGGACACAACAGGATGGGCTTTGAGATCAGCCCCACCGAGGCACAGATCAGTGCCCTTTTTGTCCCAACAGGTGATGGTAGACACAGAATCCACCGGGCTCTGGTCTCAGCCCCACCAGGTCTTATCTGAGAGCACAGCACTGGCAGCTGTTCCGGGCAAGAAGCAGATTGATTGGGTTGTGCTGCAGAATCACAAAGGACTTGATATGTTTTCCTAGGGACTGATCTGAGTAGGGCTTGGGCCAATGGCTAGGATTCTAACAGTCATGGGAAAGAGTGGGAATCGGGTATGGAAAAATACCCATGGATCTAAAGAATATACCATGGCTGGGCTGGAGGCTCTCTCCTGAGAAATGCCTGCAGTACAGTTTTATCTGATCATGCCACTTGGATGTGTCTCTTGGACACATCTTGATAAGCGTAAAACTAGATGATTAAATAAAAGTTGTTCTAAAAGTATTGCTTTTTTCTTTGGGGGCACATGGAAAACACCTCGTGCTCTCTATTTGTCCTGTAACCTGATGTTCTTTCAAAGTAGTTCTCTTTGACAAAAAGATAGCATTCTCATGAAAATATAATGCAGATGCAGTAGTGGTAACAGTAACAGTCATAAAAATGCCATCAGTAAGATGTGGGGCAGAAGGGCTCTTTCAGGATGGAGAAAAACCAACTCCACCAAAAAAACCCCACAAACCATCAACCAAAAAAACCCAAAACACAACAAAAAACCCCACAGAAACAAAAAACCAAAAGGCCCCTACAAAAAATAAACACAAAAACACCCCCCCCCCCCCCAAAAAAAAAATCCCCAACCAAAAAGACAAAACTCCAAAAGCAGTCCATTTCTGTGAAGTGTTTTTGCTCTGATGACTGGTTGGAAGTCAGGAGTCTAAGGAGAATTTAGGAAGCTAAAAATTCTGTTCAGTGTGGCCACTAGCACACAGGATTTGCCTAGATCATTTGCTAGGTCACAGCCTTCTGCTGATCCAAGAACAATCCTTGCTTCAGCCTTTAGCGAAGAGGGAAGCTCAGGCAAACCCAAGCCAGTCCAAGGTGCCCTCAGAGGCAGCAGGAACACCCAGAGCGCTCTCTCGCTGCCTCGGAGCACAGCACTTCCTCTGGGGAGTCCTAAATGGCCCTGTGACACCAAACTCAGGAAGAGCATCTGGTATAGCTCTGCTGACACCTGCACACAACACACTGTCCCTCAGACAAGAAATCCCCCAGACATACCCAGCATCTCCAGGTACTTCTCCTCAGTCTCCTGTTCCAGGGAGATGAAGGAACTGCCCCAGCTTGAGCTTCCAGGTTTGACAGAAAGGCTTCCTTGAGATGATGCTGCTGCGGCAGCAGGTTCAGAGCCCAGGATGTGCTGCACTTGGAGCATTTCTGGTGGGCACTGTTCCTGTGCCTCACTCCAAACTTGGGGCTCTTCATTGCCAGACATTCGCTGGAAGTCTTCGCAGGCTGCCCGGTGAGACGTCAACACTCGCACCTCAAGTCAAACAGAACAAAGCAGTCAGACACTACAGCTTGTCCCTGTCAGCCAGGAGTCATCAACTGTGAGGAAAGGCAAAGAACAGACTGACAAGGGATATAGACAGCTTGTTCCAATCCTCCAGCTGGGTCACCACATTCCACTGTAAAAACACCTCAAGAAACAAGGAGAGCAGGAACAGGCCAGCAGGAATCAACTTGGATGACTGCTGGCCAAAAGGCCAAAGGACAAGTTTCACTGTCCAGGGCAGCAGTTGAGATTCAGCACACCAGGAAATGTCCTTCAGAGTGACTGTGATACACACTACAGCAGGATCAGAGGCATCACCCCACTCCCTGCTGCTCTGAGTGGAAAGGCAAGAAGGGCAGAAACCACCAGCTTGGTCACTGCAGTGACTGCATCCCTCTTTCACTCACTTCTAGAGCCTGAGGGAGGCGATTAAGTTTCTCTCTGATGATTTTCATTTCTTCCTCCAGCCTCTTCTCCCTTACCTTGTTGCTAGCCTCAGAGTCCTGCAGTTCTGCCTGCATGTGTCCCTTGATAGACTGTAAAGGAGAAGGGAGAGGATATTTCATGAGTGGAGTGCCTGCCACTCTTTCACTCACCTGGTTTTGTTGATCGCTCCTCTGCTGATGGAGATTATCCTCTTGAATTCTACTCATGTCTTCCTTGTTCCTCCTCTTCACTGCCATGATGGCACTCTGAGCTTCGGGCAGCTCTGCTTGTGGCTCTGCTTTGATGTTCTGTACACACAAATGCAGAGCAAGTGACTGGGAGCTGCCATCAGACTCAGCTTTTTTCGTCTTGCAGCCTCAAAATCACATCTATTCAGCCCCTTCTTTCTGCTTCCCTCCTCTGCTTCCATTGCAAACCTCCTGTCCCAGGGCTGATCTCTGCAGATTCCAAGGCTCTGTGCTTCCAGTGCCTGTGGGACTCCTGGCCTCCTCAGTCCCACAAGCTCTGGTTTATGCCCCTCTTCCTGCCCTTCCCTCTGTCCCCTGGCCAGTCAGGCTTACCTGGCCATTCTCCTGTGGCTCTTCCACCTGCTGCCTGAGCTGCTCTTCCTGCTCTCGCGCTGGGAACAGCTCTCCCTGAGTCTGCCATGGCATCTCTGATGAAGCAATCTGCTCCTGCCCTTTCTCTAGAAGGACCTGCACAGAAAGCAAGAGAAGATGGGTTTCAACTTCCCACGCGACCTTTGTGGGCCAAGACTCAAAGACTGCTTGGCTCACACGTTCCCAAAGCACTGTGCTGCTGCTCTCCTGGGTCATTCTCTGTTTGAGGGGAGGCACAGATTCCAAAGTGACCCTGGCCCTACAATCAGGGGCCATCTGGGACTGAAGCTCCAACAGCCTCTCAGGCAGCTGACAGGGAAGATGTGGCATTTCTCAAGGGTCTGCTGAGGGCCTCCCTCTGCTTCTGCCATGTCCTGTTTGTCTTTCAGTAGTGACTGACACCCCACCCTCTCCCACAGCTCCATCCTGGCTCTGCAGGTGGCTTCCTGGGTGAGCTCAGATCTTGTGAGAGACACTTCTGCAGTTCAAGTTCATTTCAGGCCTGCACCAGCATTCCTGCATACCTGACATCTATACTCTTGTAAGAAATCCTGGTCATTCAGGAGATAAGAATGTGTGCAAAGATCTTTGATGGAGGTCACAGAGCCTCTATGGCCACCTCAGTATGTGGAAGAGGACCAAGGTGTTTCTTCTCCCTCTTTTGTCAGCTGAGAATTCTGACCAGCAGAAACAGAGACTCTCCTAAGGCCCCATTAACGAATGCACTTACACAGCCCTGGGGATGCCAGTGAAGGAAACCATGTGTCACGTATGGCATGGCATGTATGACCAGAGTCACCAAACACCAACTAAACATGGAATTGTTCCACCTCTTTAGGACAGGCAGAAATCTACAAATTAAGTGAGGACTTGAGGGCACAAGAGGCTGGAGGAGGAAAACAACTCTAAAGGGAAAAACCAACATATCTGGAGGAGGAAACATCTCTGCCTGCTCAGAATCGGTCAAGGGAACATGTCTCTAATCCTCTCCTGAGAGGGATGAATTAGGTGACCTTTACACCTCCAACTGCTTTGGACCAGAGCCAGGAAAATTCAATTATGGAAATATTACAGAAATAGATAGATAGGTAGGAATACAGGCAGATAGATCTCACTACTATAACCTCCCTTTACTGTCCTCTCTGTTGCTGCACACATCAAAACTTGGTAGCCAGTGCCCCGAACACTCCCGCTCTCCTGAGATTGCTCCCTGTTGCTTCAGAAAAGCACACTCTTGGGGAATTTGGAGTGTGTAGGTCCTTATGGAAAGAGATCAGACCCAGAGAATTGCACTGGGAACTGCACTCTTTATGCGTCTGTGCTCGGGTAAGTTCTCTTGGACTCAAGCACACTGATGGTGCTAAAGTGGCTGGAAACAGAAATAAAGCCCAGCAACTCCCCACAAGTGCTATGATCTCTGAGGAGCAGCTGGAATGCAAGGGCATTGACCTCCTGCTAAATTCCCGAACACAACACACACTGATTCCTTGGACTGTAGAAAGTCACAGGCACTGCGAAACTCAAAGTAATCTTTAAGGCCATGCATGAAGGCCTGGAAACACAAAAGCTCCACCTGGATCAAGGTGCAAAGAGGGTGCAGAATGCCTTCAAGAGTTTGATAAGAGCAGGAAAGATGGTGCAGAAGCATCCCTGCTTGCTGGAAAAAGAGAAAATGAATAGGCCTTCACCTCCTAGGAAACCAACAAACCACAAGTTGGGAAGTGTCAGCTACTCCGGTGTCTAAAGCCCTTGGATGCAGGGGGGATGAATTTTGGTGTGAACCAGCCCTTGTGCTGAGCACTGTCATGCAGGGAATGATGGAAGTTTGCCTGAAGGTCCCTCAAGAGCATCCCACTGTCCAGGCTAAAGCTCCCTCAACACCTCCTCTCTGGCCTTGTGCTGCACCCCCTTGCCCAGCTCCCCTGTCCTTCTGTGCACGCGCTGCAGCCCCTCAAGGACTTTCTGCTGCCCGGGGGCCCACAAGTGCACCCAGCACTGCAGCTGTGGCCGCAGCGCTGCCCAGCACAGGGCCACGCTCACTGCCCTGCTCCTGCTGCCCCACTGCTGCTGACACAGGCCACCATGCCCTGGGCCTTCTTGGCCATCTGGCCACACGCTGCCTCATTGTCAGTGGCTCAAGGCCAGCAGCAACCCTGGCTCCTTTTGGCCCACGCAGCTCCCCAGCCACAAAGGTGCTCATTTCACTTCAGATACAGCAGGCACCATTGTACGATGGCCTTCCTGTTCTGAGCAACACAAGACAGCAGTCAAGGACTTGCAGCTTCACCCCCACTCTGGGCTCCAATGCACTTGCCGAAACTGCATACTTCATCACTACACAGATCAGTAGAAACTTAGCCCTTCTGCTGTTTGCACCTTCTCAAAAGCCAAAAGGCAGTTGGGCCAGCAGTGATTTTACAAGTGAAGAACGACTCAAGAAAACTGCAGAACACTTCCACAAGCCAAACACAACTTTCCAAAAAGGGAAAAGCAAGCAAGAAAGCCTTTTGACCTCCAGCACTACCACGTGAGCCCTTGGCCATTACACCGCAGAAGCCCAGAGATGGAGCTTCCCTGAGCCAAGCAGCCACAAGCTCCGCCGGAGCTGCGAGTTTAACACTGGCCCAACAGGACAGGTCAAAGGCCAATTTCTAGCTCTCACTGCCTGCAGGAAACGGCTACGTCCTGCAGGACTCCAGCACTCAGCATCCTGGGCCAGACACAGCAAGTGCTGGCAGCTCAGAAAGTTGCACCTCTGCCTTGCACTAAAGATGGCACCTCCCACAACAGGCACTTACTCTCTTGGAATGATGAGGACGTTCTGGTGTGACCACGGCTGAACAAAGGCGGTGGTCATCTTTCTCATTTTCCTCCTCTCTGGCTTCTTCTGCAATAGGAGAGAGAGCCAGGGGAAAGATGGCTCTTGCTCTTCTCACCTGTGGCAAAGAGAGAATCATAGGGACAGGCCGTTACCTAACGCTTATAACCCCATTTCTCTTCGTATCAACAGCCACATCTTCTTAGGAGAAATCATCAACTTTGTTAGCAATGGCATTCAAAGTCACTCCAACCAGACTGAAATGGGCACATTCAATTGAAGAGTATAAGGCTATGAATTCGATATTCCTCCCTGGCTGCCATTTGCAAGCAAGGTTGTCTCTGCAAAAGGCAGCTTTTGGTTCTTGAAAGCTCGGAAATGGAAAAGTAGGAAAGAGCCAGCAAGGCCTTTGCTACTGCTGCAGTAGACAAGGAAAACCAGAAAGGGTTCAGAATCCCTCCCAGTGCCTATAAGCACAGGAAAGTTTGCGCAGAAGCATCCTTTCTTGCTGGAAAAAGAGAAAATGAACAGGCCTTCACCTCCTAGGAAACCCACAAGCCACAAGTTGGGAAGTGTCAGCGACTCCAGTGTCTAAAGCCCTTGGATGCAGTGATGGCATGTTTGGCAGGGAAACAGCCCTTGTGCTGAGCACTGTCATGCAGGGATTGATGGAAGTTTGCCGAAAGGTCCCTCAAGAGCATCCCATTGTGCAGGCTAAATCTCCCTCAACACCTCCTCACTGGCCTTGTGCTGCACCCCCTTGCCCAGCTCCCCTGTCCTTCTGTGCACGCGCTGCAGCCCCTCAAGGACTTTCTGCTGCCCAGGGGCCCACAAGTGCACCCAGCACTGCAGCTGTGGCCCCAGCGCTGCCCAGCACAGGGCCACGCTCACTGCCCTGCTCCTGCTGCCCCACTGCTGCTGACACAGGCCACCATGCCCTGGGCCTTCTTGGCCACCTGGCCACACGCTGCCTCATCCTCAGTGGCTCAAGGCCAGCAGCAACCCTGGCTCCTTTTGGCCCACGCAGCTCCCCAGCCACAAAGGTGCCCATTTCACTTCAGATACAGCAGGCACCATTGTACGATGGCCTTCCTGTTCTGAGCAACACAAGACAGCAGTCAAGGACTTGCAGCTTCACCCCCACTGCAGGCTCAGAGGCACTTGCCAAAGATGCAGACTGCACCAAACTATGCATCAACAGAAACTGGCCGCTTCTGCTTTTGGCCTCGCAAGAAAGCTTCGCGACTCCGCACTTTGTTTCTTTGGCCACGCGGGACAAGAATGGGCCCCCACAGCTGCATGGACCACACAATCCTCCCCTTGCAGCTTATCAAAAGCCAAAAGACAGCTGGCCCAAAAGAGGCTGTACAAGTGAAGAACTACTCATGGAAAGTGCCGACCGCTTTCACAAGCCAAACACGCCTTTCCAGAGAGGGAAAACAAACAAACCAAGGCCTGGCACCTCCAGCACTCCCTCCTTTGCCCTTGGCCATAGCACGGCAGAAGCCAAGCGATAGAGCTTCCCTGAGCCAAGCAGCCAGATGCTCTCCCAGAGGCACCAGCCCTTTGCTGCCTCAACATGACAGCTCAAAGGCCAAGTTCTGCGGTCTCTGCCTGGAGGAAATCCCCAGCTCCTGGCAGGACTCCAGCACCCAGCATCCTCAGCCAGCAACAGCAAAGTGCTGGCTGCTCCAAACCTTGCAGCTCTGCCTTGCACTAAAGACAGCACCACACACAACTGGCACTTACACGTTGAGAATATGGTGGTCTGACCACTGATGGAGGCTGGCGCTCATCCACCTCAGTTTGCTCCTCTTTGGCTTCTTCTCCAGGAGCAGCGGGGGCCAGGGGAGAGGCGGCTCTTGCTTCTGTCATCTGTGGCAAGAGAGGAGCATGAGGCACAGGCCATTTCCTATCATGTAGAACCTCATTTCTTTTCAGATCTACCACAACATCTTCTAAGGAAAAAATCATAACATTTCAGAGTGACAGAGGGGTTCTAAATCCCAGCCACCAAATTATCATGGGACAATTCAACACCACTCTAGATGGATATGAAGTTGATTTTCCTCCATGGCTGCCATCCGCAAGCCATCAGCAAGCCAAGGTTACCTCAGACAAATGCAGCTTTTAGAGCTTGAAAGCACTGAAATGGAAAACTAGGAAAGTGACAGCAACGCCTTTGCTACTGCTGCTGCAGACGTAGAAAACTCAAACTGGACCACAATCCCATCCAGGGCTGCAAAAGGGCAGGGAACATTGTACAGAAGCATCATTG